GAGAGGAAGCGGCTGGCCCAGCAGAACCCAGACCTGCACAACGCCGTGCTGAGCAAGATGCTGGGTAAGGTGGGGGTGGGTGGGTGCCTGGGTGGGGACTTGGGAGGGGTTTAAAAATATATATATATATTGATCCCCCTTCTCTTTCTCAGAGCGACTTCTTAGCACGTGGTCCTCTCCTCTTCTGCTTTCTCACAACAGCCCCGCGAGGTAGGCCAGGCGGAGAGTTCTTCCCTCCCCTGCTTTCTCCCAGCAGCAGCCCTGCGAGGTGAGGGGTCGTGGCCAGGGTTCCCTCTAAGCTGAGTTAGTGTGAGCCAGCTCGCAGTTTTTTAGCCTCTGGCTCACACATTTTTGTCTTAGCTCAGGAAGGGAGGGCTCCAGAGCAAACTAATTGAGGCAGCAGCCGAATCGCTCGCTCACAACTTTAATGCCAGTGGCTCACAAAGTAGAATTTTTGCCCACGGGGCTCCATAGCTTAGAGAGAACATTGGTCGTGGCAGGCCCAAGGTCGCCCAGGCGGTGTTCAGTGGCAGACGTGAGGATTCGAACTGCAGGTTGTCCATTCCAGCCCTAATCCGCCGCTCTATCTGCTACACTGCACTGGCCATAGAATCCTAGAGTTGGAAGGGACCTCCAGGGTCATCTAGTCCAACCCCCTGCACAAGGCAGGAGATTCACAAATTACACCCCCCCACACCCGTGACCCCTGCTCTGTGCCCAGAAGATTACAAAAAACCTCCAGGATCCCTGGCCAAACTGGCCTGGAGAAAAAATTGCTTCCTGACCCCGAAGTGGTGGTCGGCACTTCCCTGGGTGTGTAAGGAAGGGCCACGAGAGCTAAGCCCTTCCTGCCCTCCCTCTCATGATCTGCCCAAGTTCACAGAATCAGCAGAAGGAGAAGCCCACCTACCTCATGAGCAATGCTCCCTCTAAGCTGTGGAGTCTTGTGAGCAAAAATTCTGCTTTGTGAGCTACGGGCATTAAAGGTGTGAGCGAGCGATTTGGCTACTGCGTAAATTAGTTTTCCCTGGAGCCCTCCTTCCTGAGCGGAGACAAAAATGTCTGAGCCGGAGGCTTAAAAACTGTGAGCTAGCGCACATTAACTCAGCTTAGAGGGAACACTGCTCCCGAGGAAGCCTGTTCCACTGAGTAACCCCTCTGACTGTCAGGAAAGTTCTTCCTCAAGTTCAGCCAAAAGCTCTTCTGATTTAATTTCAACCCAGGGGTTCTGGTTCCGACTTTCTGGGGCAACAGAAAACAACTCCGCACCATCCTGGTCTTAACCTCTCCCGGCTGAAATTCTCCCCCCTATTCTCAAAAAAAAAAGGAATGAAGGAGTAGAGGCTGGAGTGAGGCTTGTGGAACTCCCCGCCACAATATGTGAAGGGCGCAGGGTTAAATGTCTTTTTAGATTGGGAGGGATTGGCCCTGTTCATGTGTTACAGTGAACGCCAATGTTCCCTCTGATTCCCCCCCCACCCCCCTGAGCGGAGCATTTCACATCCTCAGCAGAAAATAACTGCTGATATCTTAAAATGGGTCATGGACAGTGCAAGACCCCGTGCGGCTCGAGATTGTGGCTAAGCGGGGCTTCCTGTATTAATGAGCAGCCGCTCACACGCACACTGAATCCTATAGGTACATGTTGCTAAGGAAGAGCCAACACACATCCACTTTACAGATGAAACTGGGGACCAATAAATGTGGTTTCAGGTGGGCAGAGCTGTGTTGGCCTTCAATGGAAGAACTAGACTTGGGTGTCCAGTCGCATTTTAGAGACCAACAGTATTTCTGGGTTATAAACTTTTAGGAGCTCCCTTCTGGAGCTGGATAAATGTGGTGCTGAAATTGCCCATTCAGCTGTCCCTGTGTTGAACGTCAGAATCACTCGACGCAAGTAGAAGAAGAGATTGGATCTGTACTCCGCCCTTCACTTGGAGTCTCAGAGCGGCTTACGGACTCCTTTCCCTTCCCCTCCCCACAACAGACACCCCGTGAGGTAGGTGGAGCTGAGAGAGCGCTTTCCAGATCTGTCCTTGAGAGAACAGCTCTGACAGAACTATGGCTTGCCCAAGGTCATCCAGCAGCTGCGAGTGGAGGAGTGGGGATTCAAACCCGGTTCTCCCAGATTAGAGTCTGCACACTTAACCACTACACCAAACTGGCAGAAGAATCAAGTGTACGCTGTACACAGATTATATGTGCGTGCTGGCTTCTCTGTGCCTTCACTGTAACTTGCAAACAGGGCTATAACGTTTGCCAATGGCTACGCCCTCTCTCTATCTATACGTAATGCTTGGCAAAGTCTGCTTCCATGTATCTGAAGAAGTGTGCATGCACACAAAAGCTTATACCCTGAATTAAACTTTGGTGGTCTTAAATGCGCCACCAGACTCAAACATTGTTCTGTTGCTTCGGACTGACACGGCGACCCACCTTTATCAGTAGTTCTAACAGTGAGAGAAGAACCTCCATGTGCAGAGGCAGTCAACTTTTAAATCCCTGCGACAAACAATGGTTGAGGCTGGGTGCCTTTTTGCCTGGTTCCCCTGATGAATCATGCTAGCCGCTGTCGAGGTGCTGGGTTGGGTAGACCTCCACCAGTCCTTTATCTAACCTTGAGTTTTCGACGTTGCTTGATCGGGCCAGTGTTCCCTCTAAGCTGAGTTAGTGTGAGCTAGCTCACACTTTTTTAGCCTCCGGCTCACCCATTTTTGTCTTAGCTCAGGAAGGACGGTTTCCGGAGCAAACTAATTGATGCAGTAGCCAACTCGCTTGCTCACAACTTTAAGGCCAGTCGCTCGCAAAGCAGAAATTTCGCTCACAGGATTCCACAGCTTAGAGGGAGCACTGCTAGGCTCCCTTTCAACTTCCATATCCCGGGATAAATTCCCCCTCCTCTTGCTTCAACCAGAGTGGGATTTCTAGGGCATTCTGGGCTGTTAGGAGGGAGGAGATGGCGGGGTGAAATTCAGGATCACTAGAGGAATCCACGGGTCTGGTCAAAGCAGGTGGGTTGTTGTCATGGGATGTTTGGGCTGGGTCTAATCGGTGTAAAGAGTCCGTGGCTCCTTTCCGCTCCCACCTTCTGTCGAATGGAGGGAGTAGTGCAATGAACATGGAACACGTCCTGTTTTACATGTGATGCTTAAGAGGCAAACGGGCTCACCTTCGGGGCTTTAGGGTTGGCGCAGCATCAGATTTAGACGGAGCTGCTAACGATGCAAAAGGAACACGAGCGCCGGCGTCTGGCTTAAACTGGGTGGCCGATTTGTGCCAAGCTGGACGAACGCTTGCGCCTCACCAGTCCGTCATCTTGTTCCGATTGACCCTGTAAGGGTTCCCCCCCCCCCACACACAGAACATGTCATAAGTACCTGTGAACTTCCCATATGCCTTGTGACACACAATGAGATTCGAAGGAGATTTTTGTGAAGCAACCTGCCAAGAGTCAACGCTCTCCCTTCATCAGATATAAAGCGTTGACTCTCGAAAGCCTATACCTCAAATGTCATGGTGATCTGTAAGTTGTGACTGGACTCGAATCTAGCTCTCCGAGTCAAAATGGGGGCTTGGCCTTCGGAACTGGAGAGCAGTGCAGATGTGGGGACCAACGCTCCCTCTAAGCAGTGGCGTCTCGTGAGTAAAAACTCTGCGTTGTGACTGAGCTACAGGCATTAAAAGTTCTGAGCGAGCGATTTGGCTACTGCATAAATCAGTTTGCTCTGGAGCCATCCTTCCTGGTAGAAGACAGAAACGTGTGAGCCGGTTACAAATAAGAGAGGGATTTTTTTTTTCCCACCCTCTTATTTTATGTGCTGGCTTATGGCACAGATGAGGATTCTCACTGGTAATTCGAAGGGCAAAGCCAGGTGGTTTCATCCAGAGGGATTATCAATGCATAGAAGGCGTTGTTTGGGTATACATGCCCAAGGTGCTTGGTGTTTAATTAATCTGGAATAATTGCCCCCTTCCCCCAAGGTCCATACACAGAAACTACCATGGTTTAGAATCCCCGCTGCGTGCACAAATATATATATTTTGGAAGATACACCTCCCATGCACACGCACGTCTTTTTCTGATCTACTTCAACAGGGCTGTTAAAGACCAGCAGATCTGTGCAAAACGATATCTAGTTTAAACAAGGGTTAATTCCCGCAGCACCCTAAAGACGAACACTTTTATTGGTACAGAAGCTTTCCAGAGTTCACAGAGCTGTCAGATGCATTCTCTTCCAACAGCGCAGGTATCTGATACAGTGAACTTTGATTCACAAAAACCTGGACTTAGTTCTAACAGTGAGAGAAGAACCTCCATGTGCAGAGGCAGTCAACTTTTAAATCCCTGCGACAAACAATGGTTGAGGCTGGGTGCCTTTTTGCCTGGTTCCCCTGATGAATCAGGCTAGCCGCTGTCGAGAATGGAGACGCTGGGTTGGGTAGACCTCCACCAGTCCTTTATCTAACCTTGAGTTTTCGACATTGCTTGATCGGGCCAGTGTTCCCTCTAAGCTGAGTTAGTGTGAGCTAGCTCACAGTTTTTTAGCCTCCGGCTCACCCGTTTTTGTCTTCACTCAGGAAGGATGGCTTCCGGAGCAAACTAATTGATGCAGTAGCCAACTCGCTCGCTCACAACGTTAAGGCCAGTCGCTCGCAAAGCAGAAATTTCACTCACAGGACTCCACAGTTTAAAGGGAGCATTGCTAGGCTCCCTTTCAGCTTCCATATCCCGGGATGAATTCCCCCTCCTCTTGCTTCAACCAGAGTAGGATTTATAGGGCATTCTGGGCTGTTGGGGAGGGAGGAGATGGCGGGGTAAAATTCAGGATCACTAGAGGAATCCACGGATCTGGTCAAAGCAGGTGGGTTGTTGTCATGGGATGTTTGGGCTGGGTCTAAGCGGTAGTTAGTGGCTCCTTTCCGCTCCCCAAATCTTTATTTTATGTGCTGGCTTATGGCACAGATGAGGATTCTCACTGGTAATTCGAAGGGCAAAGCCAGGTGGTTTCATCCAGAGGGATTATCAATGCGTAGAAGGCGTTGTTTGGGTAGACATGCCCAAGG